CCCACGCCTCTCATTTGCATGAGAGACTCCGCCCCGAGGCGCGCGGCGCCGGCGCCAGCCCTTAAGGGCGTCCCGGCGCTTAAGGTGGACCGGCCCGGAGCCCAGGGCCAGCGGCGGGCACGGGTGCCCGCCCCCTTTGCAGCCCGGGCCCCTCGGCGCCGTGCCCCTTCCTCGTCCTCGCGCGCGAGCCCCGCTCGATTCGAAGCGCTCTGGTCGGCGGGCCACGGTTTCCCTGCCACCTCCACGCCCGGTCCGTGGGCAGCTGTCCCTTCCCCTTCGCTAGGAGTCTGTGGCTGGAGCGCGCGACCCTTCCCCGCCGGACCCTCCGCCCTCGAGGAAAACACTTTTCGAGGTTTTCAACAGGGAGGGGGCGCGGGCTTAGGTCCGCAGGAGGCCGTGGAACCCGCGGCGCGGCAGCCCTCCTCGTGGGCAGTTTTCCTGGCCTCCTCTCCCCTGGGTGGATTTCTGCTGACCTTGGCCCAAGGCCAGGAGTAGAGCCCCGGCCGCCCCCGGGCCTGAGGCTTTCCCTGTGGCTGCCTGGTGTCACAGGGGGTGGACAGGGAATGCACCTTCCCAGGACAGGCTCGTGTACAGTTCGGGGGTCCCGATGGACCTCAAACACATCCACCACTCTGTCGGCGGATGCTGTGAGCTGCTGCGAAGCTGAGCAGGTTTCCGCCGCGTTTGCTGCTGTTTCAGGCGGTTGCAATACAGCAAGGAGGAAGAGAAAGCTGCTGCCTACTGCAGTGTACAGTTTAAAAACTGACGCGAGGCCAAAGAGCAAGTCCATACATCCACAATGCACCAATAGGGAAGCTCTGGCGGAGCAGTGGTTCCATGTCGGGCTGCTAACCTCAGGGTCAGCAGTTCAAAACCACTCCTTGCTCTGAGGGAGAAAGATGAGGATTTACAGCTTCAGAAACCCACAGGGGCAGGTCTGCTCTGCCCTATAGAGTCAGTATGAGTCAACATTGACTCAGATCCGCATTTCCACCCCTCCCTCACAAACCCTTGATAATTTCTAAATTATTATTTTGTCATGTCTTACACTGTCATCTTGAGAGTGATGATGGCAACAAATGTGCTTGACACAATGGATGGATGTATGGATTGTGATAAGAGTTGTATGAGCCCCCAAGAAAATGATTTAAAAAAAAAATCAACTCAGGGGCAGGGAGGCAGCAAAGTGACCATCAAGTCCACTCAGACACAGAGCAACCTCCCGTGTGCCAGGGACAACTGCTCCGTGGGTTTTCAATGACTGGCATTTTAAAAATATATTGCCAGACCTTTCTCCTGAGGCATCTGGTGGACTTGAACTTCCAACTGCACAGTTAGCATCTGTGCATTCTGACCAATAAATTGCACACACAGGGATTTCAGCACGCACAAAATACGTGTAAGAGCTGGATCTCTATTTTGCAACTGAGGAACTTTCTCATAGGCACAGGTCCCAATGCTCTCAGATTGTCGCTTGAAGAACAGACCCTGGCCACGACAGAAGAAAACCAGAAAGCAGAACCTCGGACTAGCTGTTCCCTCCTGTGGCCCAGAGTTCTGCATTGCAACGGAACCAGGCTGGGGCTCAGCTCCGCTTAGCGATTTTCTGATTCTCTTAGGACTTCCGTTTGACAGTTGGAGCCTCTCTCTCAGCCTCAGTTTCTTCATCGGTAAAATGGAAGTGAGCATGCCAACACTAGCTTGTGGTGACGGTGGCCTGGGTGTTGAACATGACAGATAATGTGAGTGTTCTCTTGACCTGGAGCAGTGCTGGTCACCTGCCTGTCAGGACCAGGGTCCCTCACCCTGAATCATGGGTGGCGAATGGCCAGCCTGTGGAAATGAGCGGAGAGGCGCAGTGCCAGGCTTAACCCCAATGTGACTGCTTCCAGGATAGTCAGTCCTTCCTTGGTGTCAGTCCACAACTATGAACCGAGCCGCCAAACCCTCAGGGTGTGTAGGGAAGCGCGTAGCTGCCCGCCCCGTTGGCCGAAGGAGACAAACATCCTTCTAGTCCCTGAAGAGGTGTCTTGAAGGAGAGCAACAGGTACTAGTCTGACCCCTGAATCTTGAAGCAAATTGTTTCCTAGCCCTTAAGACACAGATACACCTCCCTCTCTCTTTCTGCACAAACACTGGTGTTTGCTTTATTTCCATATTCTGTCTGTAAAAGCAACAATGAATACCAGTGAGGAAGAGTCTGCACAGGAAACAAACCATCCGATGTGGTTGTGGAGAGGAGGTGTGGCAGCTGAGAGGCCTGTCTAGCGCAGTCCCTGGCAGGTGCCTCCCTGCGCCCTGGTGAGTGTCTAGCCAGCCAGCTGTACAGGGAGCAGGACCCTAGGGAGGGGCACTGGCCAGGACATGACCCAACCAGGTAGCAGAACCCTCAGCTCCACAGGAGGTCCCCACCACCCAGAGTTCGGTATTGCCCCCCAACCCTGCCAATTCCAGGGCTCAGGGAGGCTTCTGCCCACCGCTTCTCATCTCTTTCCAGCTGGCTTGAGGTCTGAGGAGCTCCCCAGCTACACTTAGAGATTTTTCTGATTCTCCAATCGACCACTTGGCTATTTTTATTTTGCCCTTTCCGGACTGTGTGCGCTCAGAAGCTCTGTCCACATGCCTGTGTTCCACGACAGAAGCTAGCAAGGCAAAAGAAGTAGCCTTTGTGATATTTGGCTTACAATTGATACCACGAGGGTGAGGGGAGGGAGGCTACTCATCACCCCTTCTCTGACTCATGGGTTCTGGCATGAACAGCCTGTCTCTGCCACAATTCCTTTAAGTAGACCGCTCCCTCTGTGGTAGGGGAGAAAAAGGAGGCTTCCTGCCTCCCGTCAGGGGTTACTGTCTCGGAAGCCCCCAGGGGCCGTCCTCCTCTGTCCAGTAGGGTCACTCTGGAATAGTTGGAATAGATTCCACGGCATGGAGTTTGAGTTCTTGTCTCCCTGACAGGGTCGCGATGAGTGAGAATCAACTTGATGGCAGTGAGTTTCGAGTTTATCCATGAGGGTATGCACACCCAGGGTTAGGCATAGGGAGCAGATTCAAAGAAGTCAAGGAATGAAATTCCTCTTTGGGACCTAACTGAGGACAGAGGACACACTCTGTAAAAGATAAAAGTGGGAGTGGAGGTGGGGGTGGAGGATGAGGGCTGCAAAGAGTTGGGTCTGAATATTCCATTCTCTTTTGCTTCCATTCTTCTACCACCTTTTTTTAAAGTTAATACTTTTATTGGGAGCTCTTACAGATATTATAACAATCCATAATTCAGTTAGATCAAGCACAATTTTACAATTGCTACCAACATCAGTTTCTAAACAGTTTCTTTCTTCTTGAACTCTTTGATATCAGCTACCCTTTAGCCCCTCCCTCCCCCGCCCTGCCCCCAAGAACCCTCATTATCATAGTATCATTTTGCCATACCTTACACCATCCAATGTATCCATTCACCTGGAATTCTGTTGTTCGATCCCCTCGAGTGGGGTTATACAGTCACACTTGCTGTCAGCTCCTCTTCCAACCTTCTCTTCCCCTACGCTCAGGGAATCATTACTCCTGTTACTGTTTCTGAAGGGTTATCTATCTTGACTTTCGTGCATCGAACCTTGCTACCAGGTTTTTGAAGCTCTCCATCCTGAAAAGGATTTGGTGGCCCAGACTGGAATCCCAACTTTTGTCCCCAATTAGAGCCTTTAACCTTTCTCCATCTGCAGAGGTGAACTGCGTTTGTCGCAGCGTGGTTGGAGGCAGTGTGGGGAGGTGCTGTAGGGTCCATTCCTGCGCTTTTAACCCTGTCTGGAGAGTAGAGCTCCCCCATAGGGTTTTCTACGTTGTCTTCTTTGTTCTGGAAACTGGTTGCCAGTTCTTTCTCCTGAGGAGCCCCTGGGTGGGATTGAGCCCTTCCATCAGCAGCAAAGCATAACTGGGAGCTTAACGAGTTCACCGCCTGGTTTCCTTATCAAACCCAAGCTCAAATTCACTGCCATCAAATCATTGTTAACTATCGGACAGGTTGGAACTGCTCCTGTGAGTTTCAGAGACTCTTTATGGGAGTCGAAAGCCTCATCTTTCCCCCGTGGAGTGGCTAGTGGTTTTGAGCTGTGGACCTTGTTGTTAGCAGCACAACAAATAACCACTATGCCACTAGGGCTCCTTATTGGGGGAACAAAACCCAGCCTATTGGTATCAAGTAAATTTGACCCTGATCAACCTTTGTATGACAGAGCAGAACTGCCAGATAAGATTTCAAAGGCTGTGAATCCTTATGGAAACAGACTGCTACATCTTTCCCCAGAGACTGGCTTGTAGGTTTGAACCACCCACCTTTTAGTTAGTAGCCAAACGTTTAACTACTGTCCCACCGGGGCCCCTTAAGTTGTTGTTGTGAAGTGACAGTGGAGTTGATTCTGATTCATCGAGACCGCATGTACCACAGAAATCAACGCTGCCCAGACTCAGACCCCTTCACTTCATTTGATTCCTGGCTGCTGCTTCCATGAGCATTGACGATGGAGCTTGACAACGTCCATTTTTTAGCCATTGGTCATAATGGCTAAATACAGGTCCAGTGGCGAGAGAGTCATTTTTCTCCCATGGAATGACATAGGTTCAAAGTCCTGACTGTGTGGTGAGCAGGCCACAGGATAACCCCCACACCACGGGGGCTTCTTCAACTCCCTGGTGGGGAGATTAAAAAGCTACCACAATTAAACCACTACTTGGAGCTGAGACACAGCGCCTTAGAGGGTAGAGTGGACCTGCTCACCAGGGCTTCCGAGGCGGTCACTCTCCATAGGAGCAGAAGGGTTCTTCTTTCTTTCTTTCTTTCTTTTTTACTTTGGAGGAAGAGTGTGGCACCCCATCAAACTCGACTGGAAAACACTAGCAAGGACCAACAGACCTTGAACTATTTATAGGCTTTTCCATTTTTGTCAGTGGCTTTCTTTTTGTTATTGTTATTTTGTTTTTTTTGTTTTTTAAATATTGTTATTGTTTCGTTGATTTTTCACTTCCTTTGTCGCTTTATTTGGCTTTGCCTGGATTTTGCACTTATTAGTGTATCTGCATGTCTATCTAGATAAGATAGGTGGGATAAATAACTTGGAGGTAAAAAGAACGGGACCAATGGTTCTGGAGGGATACGGGAGAAGGGGAGGTGGGAGAAAGGAATGTAGGGGCTGGAGGGGAACCAACCCAAGTACAAGGGAACAACAAGTGAATTAAAATCAAGGGAGAGAAGGGCATAGG